GAAGTGGCGCTGTGGCTCAAGTGGTAGAGTGCTAGCCTTGAGCTGAAGAGCTGAGGGACAGCACCCAGGCCCAGAGTTCAGGCCCCACGACGGGACCAAAAAAAAAAGGTACTATTTCAAATCTTTATCACCCAATCCTCCTTCCCAAACTTCAGATTCTTCTGTCAAACGGGGAAAATATTCCATCATCCATCCTATAAGGATTTAATAAACCAAGTGATTACCGATGTCCAGAAACAATATGCTTATGCACAATATAAGCATTACTACAACTTTAGACCTAAGAGAAAACCATTATGCAGGTGTTCTCAGAAATTTGAGATTAAAACAAAAACAAAACCAAGAAACATAGTGAGGTGAGGTAACAACATGACTAGTGGAAATCTTGCTCTTCAGCAAAAGGAAAAGTTTAAAAAAAGGGGATGCGGGGAGAAGGCCTATGAGTACACTCAAGAAGATGGGCCACAAAGGAGGTCAAGAGATTTTTATCCTATGGCCTGGCCCTCCCTTACTGCTTTTTAAACCCTAGTATACCCATGAAGGCAGATACATCAAGAAGAAAGCACTAGTGTCCCTGGCATCACTGAGATGCTGGGTACTGCTGGGGCAATGGCTCAAAGACAGCACCTGCCTGACATATGCAAGGCCCTGAGTTCACAACACCCAGTTATCTCAAAAAAAAAAAAACAAAAACGCACACAGACATGGTATGTAAGATAACAAGGAACTGGGGTAAAGTATCATTTTTCAAAGACACTGTTACTAAACACTATTATGTATGAAGAAATCTTTTAGGTCCTTTAAGGTTATAATTATAGAACAACTAGAATAGAAATTGTCATCACTCTTCTTACAATATGATCTTGTCTACACTGCAGACCAGCTATAAGAGAAAACAAAAATGGGTTTCTGCTCCCACTTTTTAATAAACCGCAGAGGCACATTTTCTCAAGTTAATTTTATTAACAAAAAGTGCAAACTAATTTGAAAAAAGTAAACTATAAGTCACAGCATTCAAGATGATATTAGACATGGAAAAGTGAACAATATTAGGCAAAATATAAGCCAGTGAGATGTCTCTCCCATGTACAGTTTATTCATGCTTTTTCAATAGTCTCTTGGCCAATGTTTAGTATAATTTTCACAAATACATAGCAGCTCAAACACAAATGCAGGAGCACAACAGCAAAGTTTGGCAATTATTTTAAGTTTGGGATTCATTATGAGTATGAAAGAAACTCTTGTATATAGTACACTTGCATATTCGTGAAACCCTTATACATAGTTATACTTGCATATTTGTGTAATATGCTTGAGTTTTTAAATGTACTGACACTGAAATTAAGAATGTTAAAAGTATTTGCTGCATTATAGTTGGATGGTAAGATAAAGAAAAAATGAAAACCCTTTAAAATGTTCTGAAATATGTCCACATGACCAGGAATAAAACAACTCCCATTAAATTAATCCAAATGTAACTGGAGATTAAGTCTATAGTGCCTCAATTATTCATATCAAGTGTCTAAAGGACAGAATCTACTCTTAAGTAATCTTTCTGTTCACTAGCTATACACTGATTAACAACCAAAACAGAAAATTGATCACTTATACCTTAGTATCTAGCCAAAGAGCGAAGAGCACCAATGACAAGTGACAGGGAGCATGCATGTTTCTACATTTGCTGGCACTTATTTGGCCTGTTACAGGACAAAGACTGCCTTTTATTACTGTACTAAATTAATTAAGGATAATAGTGCTATTTGATAATAATAAAATTCTTCTCATCCGATTAATTTTCCCCAATTTTCTGCTGTCATATATAACTGTGCTTGTTTCTAAGTTTCTGAATTACTATTTTAGGTAGAGATGAAAAACTGATATTATATCTGATATCTGTCTGATGATGACACTGAGCACCAACTACACAAAGTTCACAATCAAAGAAGCTTGTAACTCGGTTCTCTTGATCTGCAATTACCTTCCACTGTTTTCATCAGTGCTGAAGTGGAGAGTTTCAGGGTCTATTTGCTCACCCTCAGGAAAACTGGAATGCGTGTCTAAGGGAAAAAATTAAAGATAAAAAATTTCAAAATATTAAAAGGTGAATTTTCTTTCCCAAGTCTTTGAACAAATCTATCTTCAGAAATGTGTGATCTGCATCAGATGTGAACACAGAGAAACAGGACAGGAGAGAACACACAATGTACAGCAGGCCCTACAGTGGGAAGATGGGAGGTACTGTCATACTCTGTCCTCTGGCGGCCATGGTGAGGCAGCAGAAGGAAAGACATAACAACTATGATAAAGTCTCAAGACTCAGATTCTGCAAGCATACCACAGGTCTCAAAGCCAACATCACTGTCTGGGTACACATCACAATGCCTACCAGTATACAGAGTAACTGGCCCTTGTAGAAGCAGAGAGAATACTAATGATGCCTTCATACTTACAAATCACCAAATACTTGCCTCTGAATGGAAAAACAAACTAGAGTACTGGAAGTATGTAAAAGACAAAGTTAACAACTAGCATAAACCTGCCAATGCGGTCATTCCAGGAAATTTTGCAGAAATATTCAGATATATTATTAAGGACCCTGTATTACTTCAAGTATTTCACTAAAATTATATTACACCTTTTCATTGTTTCATGAAAGGTACTTTAGATATTCACATCTCAGGGGCTGGGAAGGAGGTTCAGTGGTAGAGTGCTTGCATTGCATGCATGAGGCCTAGATTCAATTCCTCAGCACCACATAAGCAGTAAAAGCCAGAAATGGTGCTGTGGCTCAAGTGGTAGAGCCTTGAGCTGAAGAGTTGAGGGACAACACCTGGGCCCCAAAACCGACAATAAATAAATAAAAGAGAATCATATCTCAGGAAGCTTAGATATGAGGATCACAGCTTGAAGCCAGCCTGGAGAGGAAGGTCCATGAGACTCTTATTTACGATTAGTCATCAAAAAGCCGGGAGTAGAGCTGTGACTCTGTGCTTGGCTTGAACAAAAAAGCTTAGGGGGGCTGGGAAGGTAGCTCAGTGGTAGAGCGCTTGCCTTGCATGCATGAAGCCCTGGGTTCGATTCCTCAGTACCACATAAGCAAAAAGAAAAAAGCCGGAAGTGGCGCTTTGGCTCAGGTGGTAGAGCGCTAGCCTTGAGCTGAAGAGCTGAGGGATAGTGCCCAAGCACAGAGTTCAGGCCCCACGACTGGAACCCCCCCAAAAAAAGCTTAGAGACAGCACCCAGGCCCAGAGTTCAACCCCAAGGTTTGTCACAAAAAAAACAAAGAAATCCACATCTCAGTGATATAGTTATGGACCACTAGCTTGCCATAAAAATTTTTATAAACGGGGCACCAGTGGCTCACGCCTGCAATCCTAGCTATTCAGGAGGCTGAGATCTGAGGATCACGGTTCAAAACCAGCCTGGGCAGGAACGTTCATGAGACTCTCATCTCCAATTAACCACCAGAAACCCGAAAGTGGCACTGTGGCTCAAGTGGTAGAGCCCAGGCCAAGTTCAAGCCCCAGGACTGACCCAAAATAAATAAATAAATAAATAAAATCAAAAGCAAAATTTAAAAAAAGAAACAGGGGCTGGGAATGTGGCTCAGTGGTAGAGTGCTTGCCTAGCATTCATGAAGCCCTGGGTTCAATTCCACAGTATCACATAAACAGAAAAAGATGGAAGTGACACTGTAGCTCAAGTGGTAGAGTGCTAGCCTTGAGCAAAAGCTCAAGGATAGTACCCAGACCTTGAGTTCAAGCCCCAGGACTGGCAAAAAACAAACAAACCACAAAACCCAGCAACTTCATTTAGGTAAAAGGAATGTTAATAAAAACAAAAAGTATTAACAGGTTTCTGTGGTGAATTTTTTCATGATTTATTTTACGGAAAGGAAAATAAAAATGATTTCCTAATATGTATACATTTCTAGTAAGACAGAAAAAACTAGTTTAAAAAATTTACAGAGTCAAGAAACAGTAGTTCACACTTATAATCCTAGCTACTCAAGAGGCTGAGATCTGAGGATCAGTTTGAAGCCAACCCTAGCAGAAAAGTCTGCCAGACTGTTATCTCCAATAAATTACTCAGAAAAAGCTGGAATGGGAGCTGTAGCTCAAGTAGTGAAGCACTAGCAATGAGCATGAAGAGGCATAGGGATAGCGCTCAGTCCCTGAGTTCAAGCCTAGGACGTTATAGAAGAGGAAAAAGTCAAATTTCCCCATAGCCAGGAGCTGTTTTTTGGTAACAGGTTATACAGTACTGTTGAAGCCAGAAACGGTCTCCAATCAAAGTTCTCTGATCCTTTGGTTTTACTAGTCCATTACAATTTAAAGCTGTTGTCAGGCCACAGGCTATTAAAAAAAAAAGCAGGTTGGGGGCACTTCACTGTACCCAGGAAGCAGGAATCATAAAGTATCTCACCATGCAAGCCAAGTAGTAGCTACTCATTTTCCTCAATACTCACCATATGGTTAACCAAAGAATGATGTGTCACAAATGACAGTAATTTAAAACAAAAGAAGAAGGAAAAGCAGCAGAGCAGGCAAGCAGAAGCAGCAGAAGAAGAGGAAAAGGTGATGGCAGCGATGGTTTTGTTAAGCTCTAAAAGGACACCACGTGCTGCACCTTCATCCGGGGGCTGTGCCATGAAAGGGTCATTAAACCCAGCCATGTTGGGGTGTTCCTCTTGCTCCTCATTCTCAGTGTCACATTCAATATCACTGTCGCTACTGATTCCTGGAAGGAGGAAACATTTTCTCATGAGAAACTACCTTGAAAGAAGCAGAAGCTCTGCTTCTACTGACCTCAGATTCTTAACACAACTCTACTATGAGAGCCAACAGTTAACAGACTAAACAGAAGGAAAATAAAAATACACATCTGAATTCTTTTCAGTTTTTTTTTGAACAGTGCTTTTACTTTTTGTTCTTAAAACTGAGTACTATAGTTCCAAAACTACTTTTAATTTCATTAAACTAAGAATATTTTTCCAGCCCAAATACCAGTTTCTAGCCCAAGACATAAATAAATTATGTAAAAAGATATGGTATATGTTCAGAGAAAATTCCAGAGATAAGTTGGTTTCTGACCTATTTGGGCCTCTAGTTTGTGTGTGTCTGTCAGTTTTGTTGGTATCCCTACCATTTTAGAAATGAGGCACTTGCTTTGTGTTGGGAAAAACACAGATAGAAAATCTCTCTGAAAGTAGAATACCACTAAATACTAAATGCTTGACATAGACTGCTTATGAAAAACAAACAGGAATAGTGTACTGATAATGTCAAATCTTGAAGTGTTATCAAACTGGCAAATTCAAACAAACCCACAATCTCATAAAATCACATGCTGAGATTCTGGAATAATCTAACAACTTTCAAGCCAATATTAAAAGCTCACATGATTGACACAAGTAAAAACTTTTAGTTATAGAAGCTTACACAGTATAGATCACAAGAGCTCTAATGGGGTAAGCCTCAAAAAAGGAGTACTCACTGTAAACAAGAAAAGTAACCACAGGTGCTGGGAAGGTGGCTCAGTGGTAGAGCGCTTGCCTTGCATGCATGAGGCCCTTGGGTTTGATTCCTCAGCACCACATAAGCAAAAAGAAAAAAGCCAGAAGTGGCACTGTGGCTCAAGTGGGAGAGTGCTAGCCTTGAACTGAAGAGCTGAGGGACAGCGCCCAGGCCCAGAGTTCAGGCCCCATGACCGGACCCAAAAACAAAAACAAAAAGAAAAGTAACCACAGATAAAAGAAACAGAAAACACAAAGAACAACAAGGAGTTTTCATTAAACTGAAGAACCTATAAGACATATGACTATTTCATTTGAAAAAGGACAGAATGCAGAGAAATAGATTTTGTAGAAATACAGACACTAAAATTAAGATATTAAGATAGTTTAGGCAAAGTTTAAAATGAACTTGTAGATGTGTATAAAAAACGAAGGTTATCAAAATAATAATAATAATTATTATTATTTTTGTCGGTTGTGGAGCCTGGACTATGGGCCAGGTCTTCAGCTCAAAGCTAGTGCTCTACCACTTGAGCCACAGCACCACTTGCGGCTTTATCTGCTTATGTGGTGCTGAGGAATTGAACCCAGGGCTTCATGCATGCAAGGCAAACACTCTACCACTGAGCCACCTTCCCAGACCTCAAAATTATTTTTTAAAAAGATTTTAAAGAAATAGGAGATAAAAGGAAATGCTACTACTCATCTCAAAATGCCAAGGGACAGAAAAATTAACAAAGGAGACAAGGTACTAAGAAAATGTCTGAGAAACTTACAAAATTGGTGATAAAAACTCTGAATTCACTGAAAACTAACATAAAAAATTAAGGAATGCATCCAGGTGCCGGTGGCTCATACTTGTAATCCTAGCTACTCAGGAGGCTGAGATCTGAAGATCATGGTTCAAAGCCACCCCGGGCAGGAAAATCCATGAGACTCTTATCTCCAGTTAAACACCAGAAAACCAGAAGTCACTGTGGCTCAAGTAGTAGAGTACTAGCCTTAAGTTGGAGCTCAGGGACAGTGTTCAAGCCCAGAGTTCAAGCCCCACAAACAATAACAAAAACAACAAACCTGAAAAATGTGCCCATAGTATATTAAAGGGAATTTATGGCAGTAAATGGTTATATGAGGAATTATGTGGCATGCACTTGTCCCAGATATGGTACAAATATAGAGGATTGTCTGGATATAAAGTAAGGATCTATTTAAAAAATAACCAAAGAAAAATGTTGGTGGAGGGGCATTCAACCTCCCAATTCCTGACAAAAAAAAAAAATATGTAACTTGAAAAATTGTAGTTTCAGCTGGGCACCGGTGACTCACACCTGTAATCCTAGCTACCCTGGAAGCTGAGACCTGAGGATCAAAGTTCGAAGGCAGCATGGGCAGGAAAGTCTATGACACTCTTATCTCCAATAAACTACTCAAAAAAGCTGGAAGTGGAACTGTATTCTCAAGTGGTAGAATGCTAGCCTTGAGCAAAAGAAGCTCAGGGAGCACCCAGACCCAGAGTCCAAGCCCTAGTACCAGCAAAAGTACACCACCACCAACAAAAACTATAGTTTCATATGGCTTCACTGGCAAATTCTTCATTGTAAATTCTTGTTTTGAAGACAAATTTAAGTAGTATTTCTTCCTTAAACACAGAAGACAAAAACTTGATATATGGATATTTCTTTTTTTTCTTTTTTTTTTGCGGGGGGGGTCCGGTCATGGGGCCTGAACTCTGGGCCTGGGTGCTGTCCCTCAGCTCTTCAGCTCAAGGCTAGTGCTCTACCACTTGAGCCACAGC